TAGCTCTTTCCCAGCTGAAACCAGGACACAAGGAGTGATGACCACCTCCGTGGTCTTCCCGCAGCTCATGCGCTGCAGAAAGAGCATCCTGTTTCAATTCTCACTCTTTGGGAGTTTGAAAATATTTCTGGAGTTGCTAGGAGAACATACTTCTCCCAGCAGGCACCAATGCCACAATCACAAGTGTGTACCTGCTGGGTTTGAGAGAAACAGCTGTAGAAGAGAAGTACATTTTCTACTGTGAAAGCGGGATCTTCAGCTAAGAGTTGTGACTATTGACAGAGTACATGCGTAGGTCATATGCAAAAGCAGCAGATGATTGTGCTAGAGTGGAAGGGCAAGATTTCATTGTGAAAATCTTTGTGTAAAAAAACATTTACATAAAAATGTTCAATTATAAACACGTGAAAGCTCACATTTTGGGAGGCAAACTTCTCTGGGCAGCACAAAAAGCTGCTTTTTTCTTTCTTCTGTAAAACTTGCTACAATTAGGCAGCTCCTGACAGACATTATAGCTGCATTAACATATTTATTACACATGCAACCCGTCTGTTAAAAAAAGTCATTGTTAAATTCAAAAACTGTTAGTTTGACTTCAATTCATAAAAGTCTCCCCACAGAGCCCATACTATTGACTGTTCTGAGATTCTTAGACAACAATCATTTTGAAGTAAGAGAAAGAAAAGTTCTAAAATATCTGTATTCTTCCTCTTCTGTACAGAAAGCATCGCATTACAAAATATATGCATAACAGACCTAAGTATAAAATACTTAACTAGAAGTAAGCACAGAATGAGTATAAGGTAATGCTGAAACTAAGCTGACAGGGCAGGATTCTAACAATGCCTGTGTTAACCTCTAGTGCTTACACCCCACTGCACTTCAGCTCCTAAGTTCAGATACTCCTGAAGCCTCTACCCTTAAGAACTGCCTCACATTTATTTCCAGAGCTACAACTACAGATCCAAAGTTGAAAACGATAAGAACTCATGACTGTTCTCAGTCTACCATCTTGCATAAAGTACAGAATACATTATGAGCTTTAAATAATTGGATCTTTCTATAGGACTCTGAATGCTACACCACCACAAAATATTCTTAGTACAGAAATGAAAGCTCTGGTATTGACAAATAGCTATTAGTAACATACTCTGAGAATAACCCGATCTTAAAAAGTAGGTGCAATCAACTGTATTAGGATATCACATTACATGCTTTTTGTTTCTGGAATTTTGACTAAATTATTTCTATTACCTTCATTCTATTTCTGCCTGTGAACAAATGCTGTCAACATCAGCTTTTGATTCACATCTTAAAAAACATGCTGAAAATAAAATGCCTGTGCCTTGAAAAAGTTCAAGTTTTTTAACCTTGGCTGATGTAACAGAAAGCTAAGGTCACAAGGCAACAGAAATAAGCTGTTAGCACAACTCTGCTTAAACCTGAACCTCATGTGTCACGGGTTTTCACTTTTGCCTTTGAAATTAGCTATTGAGAGAAAGATGGTTTTTAACCTTATGGAGCCAGAATGAATGCTACTGTTTAGGAAAACAACTACTGGCAGTGCTGTGGTTGCGTAAGAGAGAAGCCAGCCTGCAAACAGGTTAGGTGTGTCAGAGCATACTGCTCAATCCATCTTATTTTCCCCAAAATGCAGCTTTTCTTCTTCTCACCAGCGCAGACAGGCACTTACTCGGAAACTGCATGACAAGCACTACTCAGTTTCCTAGGAGGCACATTGTATGATTACTGGCAGGTCCTACTGGGTCTACATAAAGGCCTGTATGAATATGCTGACTGCTCTCTTGATCCACCTCCATGCACCCATAATCTGTAACAGCGTGCTTCCTCTAAGAAGAGTCCGGATGTACTGCGCATGGACTGCGGGAGCGCCAAAACATTCCTACTATTTATATACTCTATCTGTTTGTGTGTTTCTTCTGTCTTAAGTAAGGTCTATTTTTTCAAGATCAGGTTCAGCCTAATGTCAGCAGTCAAAAAAAATCAGCTGTAGCAACATACCTCTTGAATAAATGCTGGTTACTTATCTATCGTGTATTTCAAGCAACATCTATAAAGACAACTCAGTACAAATGTCTACGCATCAAAAGAGGAAATAAGAAAACAGCAGAAGCTTTCTCTAAAAAATTTGAAAGCTAAAATGTATAAATTCAAAGGGGAATAAAAATAACACTTTTACATGGTTTTCTTTTTAATAAAATACCATAATTTCTTTTAGTCACTTATAATCTCACACTGGAATTTAAAATGTAAAACCCAACACTATTAAAAAGTTTAACAAATCCCTTTAATTTCTTTATCTTTTCTGCCTTTTTCTGCCTATTAGCTAACCTGGATCAGGCAACACAGAGGTCAAACATTCAATACCAAATTTACTCAGACTTTGA